AAAAAAAAAAAAAAAAAAAAAAATAAATAAATAAAATAAATAAAATAAATATAGTATAATAATATAATAATATAATAAAGGAAATACAAAGAATATAACAAACAAAAAAAGAACAGGCAAATAACATATAAAACAAAATAAAAGAATACAACATATTAATAAAAATAAAACAAACCCTAAACCCTAAACCCTAAACCCTAAACCCTAAACCCTCATCATTAAACCTAAACCCTAAACCCTAATCCCTTTCTTATACTTGTCTCGGATAAAATGAGCAGCCGTGGCGGTCAGCAACTTCAAAATGCCTGAATAGCACAAACCCTAAACCCTAAACCCTCAACAGTAAACCCTAAACCCTAAACCCTGAACAGTAAACCCTAAACCCTAAACCCTAAACCCTTAGCCATATACAGGCTGAGCCCAAACTCTCTACATTCAGAGACAGTGGATAAGCATCGTATCCTATTTATGCAAGCGGCTGGGCGGCGGCAGCAGCAGCGACAACAGCAGCAGCAGCACCAGCTGCAGCAGCAGCAGCAGCAGCGTACCGAGAGCCAATATGAAGACAGAGAGTGGAGCTGTATGATGGAACGATGGCAGAAGGGAAGGCCATAGCTGAGGAAACAGCAGCAGCAGCAGCAGCAGCAGCAGCAGCACAATGAACAGGCAACAAACAGAAGCAGCAAACTGCAGCAGCAAAGGGCAGCAATATCAGCAGCAGCAGCAGCAGCAGCAGGCTTGCCTGGTAGACTACAGGGAGCAAATCCCTTTCTTTTGATGTTAACACCATGAGACACCGCAGCACCGTTAGGTGAGCAGCAGCAGCAGCAGCAGGAGCAGCAGCAGCAGAACTTCTCTCTTGTAGATGAGATCTAACCCTTGTAAGCAGCTGCACGGCGCAGACACCAAGGCTGCTGTACACTGCTGCTAGAGGTGCTGCTGCTTTTGGTGTTTCTGCTGCTGCTGCTGCTGTTGCTGTTGTTGCTGCTGTTGTTGCCCCTGTTGCTGCTGCAGCAGCAGCAGCAGGATCCTCAGGGAAATCATTTGTATCTGCATCCTCATTAACAAAAAGAAGGCCAACCTCACGAAGGAGACAAACAGCTGCAGGTTCCCTAACAGAGCCTAATGAATCTCCTGCTGCTGCTGCTGCTGCTGCAGCTACTGCTGCAGGGGTGCTGCTGCTGCTGCTGCTGGCCCACAGACCTCTCCGCGAGACACGGCGACGCATGAGAGAAGAAGAGACAGGACAAGAAGAATCAAATTGTTTTAGTACAGCAGCAGCAGAAGAAGAACAAGAAGATGCTGCTGCTGCTGCTGCTGCTGCTGCTGTTGCATGCATTTGGCAGCAACGCCAGCAAACAAAAGGAGAAAGAGAAGAAAAATATTTTTTTCTTCTTTCTGCCGTTAATACACTAGATAGGCAAAAAGAAAAAGCAGCAAATAAGCGCAGTATCCATACAGGAACAGAGGCAGCAGGTTGCTGCAGCAGGTGCTGCTGCTGCTGCAGCAGTAGCTGCTCCTGTTGCTGCAGCAACTGCTGCTCTGCATGCTCCTGCAGCACCTGCTGCTGCTGCAGCAGCAACGTAAGAAGAGAGCCTACTGGACCTAATAGAGAGGGAGGGGCTAAGGCAATAACAGCAGAGAGTAAGGATACGATTCGTGGTTCTTCTTGCTGCTGCTGCTGCAGCAGCAGCAGCTGATGATGATGATGACGCTGGTGTTGCTGCTGCTGCACCAGTTGCTGCCGCTGCATCTGCAGGAGCTGCTGCATGCGGCAAGCTAACTCGTCTAGCAGCAAAGCCCCTTCTGTCTGCAGCAGACACCGCGGCCCATCAGTACATCTCCCTCCTGCTGCTATTGTTGTTGCTGCTGCTGCACTGGCTGTTGCTGCTGCTGCTTCTGCCTGTCGTGTATACGCGCACTCTCTGCAGCAGGGGAGAGCGCCGCCTTGCTGCTGCTGCTGCTGCTGCCGATCTTCTCGTTGTGCCTTAACAATGTTTGCTTCTGTCTTAATGCATGCATCTGTTTGCTGCTGTTGCTGCTGCTGCTGCTGTGTGTCTCCCTTTTCTCCCGCTGCTGGCTGCACCTTCTGCGCTTGTTTCTCCAGCTCTATTGTGGACCTCGCTGTCGTTGTTGCTGTTGCTGCTTCTGCTGCTGTTGCTGCTGCTGCTTCTGCTGCTTCTCCTTGGTAGCGGCAGTTACCTAGCGCATCATGCAGGGTTTGCAGTGTACAGACAGCTGCATGTGCAACGAGCTGCTCTGTGCTGCCTGCTGCCTCCATGAGGCCAAGCAGCAGCAGCGGGAGCTGCGCATACACCGCAGATGGGCCCCTAAGCTTACCTAATGCATCTATTGTTAATCGCATGCAGCAGCAAATTAAGGATTCATATGCTGCTGCTGCTGCTGCTGCATCTTTGTCAGTATATTGAGGCAGCAAACCTACACCTGCCTCCAGCAAATCTTCTCCTTCTCTGCAGCAATAGAAGCAACAGCAGCGCGACGCACTGTCTTCGTGCTGCTGCTGCTGTTGCTGTTGCTGCTGCTGATGCTGCTGTAGCTGCTGCTGCTCAACGAGCTGGAGTTCTAGCAGCAGTGCAAGTGCCTGGTCAAGGTGGGAAACTAGCTGGTGGCTCCTTTGTATATCTGCTGTATCCTTGCTGCTGCTGCTGCTGCTGCTGCTGCTGTTGCTGCTGCTGCTGTTGCTGCTGCTGGACGAGCATTTGTGCTGCTCCTCTGTTCTTATATCATTTAAAATAGAGGATAATAATGCTGCTGCTGCTACGAGTGCCTCCGCCTGTCGCAGCAGCAGCAGCAGCAGCAGCGGCGCGCGGTTCCTTTGTATCTGCGGCATATAGATGCCGCGCTGCGCTGCCTGCAGCAGCAGCAGCAGCAGCTCCCCTAGCAGCAAAGGGGGAAGGGAGGAAGCAACAGCAGATATAGTTAATATAATTGTCTCTGTTGCTGCAGCACAACCCTCAGCAGCAACAAGATCGCAAGGAAGCAGCAGCAAGTCTGGCAGTATTGCTGCTGCTCCTCCTGCACCTACACCCCCTGCTGCTGCTGCAGCTGCTGCAGCTGATCCTGTGCCAGTTGCTGCTGCTGCTGCTGCTGCTGTTGCTGCTGCTACTGCTGCTGTTGCTGCTGCACGGTTAGCTGGAGGATACAGCTGAGCAATTATTACTTCGGATTTTAGTGCTGCTTCTGTTGCTCCCTTCTCAGGGGCTAACAGCAGCGCAGCAGCACGACCCATTCTGCTGCTGCTGCTGCTGCTGTAGCTGCTGCTGCTGCTGCTGCTGCTGCTAGGAGCGCGCAAACGACAGAGACGACACAGAGAAGCAGCAGCAGCCTCTAAGTTCAGGCCTGCGCTGACAAGAACAAAACTTTCTACATCATCTATCCCGGTGCTGCTGCTGCTGCTGTTGCTGCTGCTGCTGCTGCTGCTGCTGTACAGTGCGTCTGCAAGCGCACCTTCTTCTTTGTTTGCCAGTTGTTGTTGCTGCTGCTGCTGCTGTTGCTGCTGCTGCTGCAGTAAGCGGCATAGCTTCAAATGGCCGCGTACTGCTCGTAAGGAGGAGAAGAGCGAAGACTTCCTTTGCTGCGCTTCCTCTGGATCTGTGCTAGCTAGCATGCAGCTTGCTGCTGCTGCTGCTGCTGCTGCAGCAGCAAATGCAGCATTCAACTTCCCCTCACCAAGCAGCTGCATAACTGCTGGAGGGTGTATTGTACAGGCGCCTGCAGGAACGATTTCATATTGTGCTGCAGCAGCAGCAGCAGCAGCAGCAGCAGCTTCTGCTGCTGCTGCTGCTGTTGTTGTTATTGCTGCTGCTGCTGCTATCGTGTCTTGTCTGTCTACCCAGCAGCAAAGGGAAGCATCTGCTGTTGCTGTTGGTTTCTCTAAGACAGAACGAATCAATTCATCTATTTCTCTCATAGCAGCAAAACTATTGATCTTGTCCCCGGCTGCTGCTGCTGCTGCTGCTGCTGCTGTTGCTGCTGCTGCAGCTGCTGCAGGCTCGCCTGCAACAATCCATTTTTGTGCAACAGCACGTACTCTTGGGTCTTCATCATCTAAAGATTCAACAACAATAGTCAGTGCCTTAAGAAGTGCCCTCCTAACTGCAAGGGGGCCCCCTAGGGGCCCCCTAAGGGGCCCCCTCGATTTGGTACCCAGTGGGGACTCCCAATATAGAGGTCCACCATGGGGGCCCCCAAGACCCCTTAACAGAGAGGGTGAACCCTGTAGGGGGCCCCTAGGGTTTGCTGCTAATAAAATATATTGTAAGGAAAGCAGCAAATGGGAAAGACGAGGAAACATATCCACAGAAGAAGAAGAGGGATTTATTAATAATTCCTGCATAAATAAATAAATAAATAAAATAAATAAATAAATAAATAAAATAAAAAAATAAATAAAATAAAGAAATAAATAAAATAAAGAAATAAATAAAGGGCAAAAGAGAGCACTCGAAAAGGTACAAATGCAGGCATTGCCAATGATTACCATTTTCTAAGGGTTTAGGGTTTAGGGTTTAGGGTTTAGGGTTTAGGGTTTAGGGTTTAGGGTTTATGACCTCAAGCCTTTTTGCTGTTTCTTTAAATGCTTTATTTAATATTTGTGGTGATGCAGGAGAAGAGAGCAAAGAAAGAGCAGCAGCAGCAGATATATTTTCTTCTTTTTTCTTCTTTTCTTCTCCTTCCTCTTCTTCCTCTTCTTCTTTTTCCTCTTCTTGTTCTGCTGCTGCTGCTGCTGCTGCTGCTGTTGCTGCTGCTCTAGGGTTTGTGTTTGCTGTTTGTACCAACTGCAGCAGTTGCTCATATCTCCTTTTGTCCTCTTCCTCTTGCTGCTCCTCATCATCATTTGCTGCTGCTCCTGCTGCTGTTGCTGCTGTTGCTGCTGCTGCTGCTGCTACAGGCCTAAGGGCGACCTTCATCCATCTCCTTAAGGCAAGAGCAGCAGCAAACGCAACTCGGCGAGGGAGACGTCGTGGTGTTGGTATCCTCACCAGGCTGCTGCTGCTGCTGCTGCCGCTGCTGCTGCTGCTGCTGCTGCTGCTGCAGTGGGGAAGGGAAGGACCCGTAAGGAGAGAAAACAAGCATGCAGCAATCCGTGGGTATACTTTAAGAGCAGCATCTCTTGCTGTTATTCTTGCTTCCTTATCTGCTGCTGTTGCTGCTGTTGCTGCAGCTGTATCATTTGTTGCTCCCTCTGCTGCTGCTGCTGCTGCTGTTGCTGCTGCTGTTGCTGTTGTTGCTGTTGCTGCTGCTGCGTAGTGTACGTCGTCATTGGTGTCAAAGCAGCCAGAAACAAGGTATATACACCGCATACACCAGAGGATAACTTCCTTGTAGGTTACAAATCTGCTGCTGCTGCTGCTGCTGCTGCTGCTGCTGCTGTCATCTGCATAGATGCAGTGCATCAGCAGCAGCAGCAACTCATGCAGCGCGATGCTGCATGCAGCACCTGTAGGTAAACCACCTGCAGGAGGAATAGGAGCAAGGAAGCAGCAGCTAAATATTTTGCTGCAGTCTGCTGCAGTCTTAAGACGAGCAGCATGTGCTGCTAGCTGCAGCGGCCATGCAGCAGCAGCAGCAGCAGCAAGTAGCTGCAGCACAGATAAAGATAATCCTGTAAGAGAAGCAGCAGCAAACTGCTGCTGCTGCTGCTGCTGCACCTTTATGCAGCAATCTAAAGCCCTACTACATAAATGCATGCATTGACCAAAGATAGAAGCAAAAAACCAGCCACGAGATAACACCTGCTGCTGCTGCTGCTGCTGCTGCTGCTTGGTCGGGAGCAGCTCGTGTCTAAGGATAAAAACAAGAGCAGCAAGACAGCAAAAGAGTTGATCAAGAAGAGGCAGCAAATGACCTGCAACACAGAAGGCAGCTCGGCTTTCCTTGTCTTGCTGCGCTGCAGCAGCAGCAGCAGCAGCAGCAGGACTGCAACAGGCCTTCTCCAACACTTTCAATTGCGCATGCAGACATTCCAGCAAAGGTTCGCCAAAACCAAATAAACTTGCAAAAGATCCTGCAGCAAACACATGTGTTGCTGCTTGCTGCTGCTGCTGCTGCTGCTGCTGCTGCTGCTGCAGCGGGATCCTAGAGGTCAATGACTGCTGCTGCTGCTGCTCTTGAAGCAGCGCCTGCAGCTCTCCACGAAATGTCTGAAGTTGTTTAGAAGCAGCAGAAACCAGAGGCACAAATTGTTGAGCTGCTGCTGGAGTAGATGTCTGTGGGGGGCCCCCGGGGGCCCCTGCGGGGGTACCCCCAGGAGAAGGAGGAGATGATCCTTCCTCTGAGGATTTAAGGAGTGCGTTAAGGGCCTCAACAGTAAGAAATAAATGAAGACTTCTTCTCTCTGCTGCAGGTAAACCCTCTAGGTGTAGTTCCTCTGCAGCACTATCGAGGGGCCCCATGGGGGTTAATAGGAGGGTTTGACGCTCCTGAGGTGTACAGACAGGTACTTTAAATATCCATAAATGATTTAATATTGAAATTAACTACGTTTAAATGGATATTAAAAAGAAATATATGTATATTCATGCAGCTTAAAGACACAACATATCCGGGGGCCCCCGAGGCAGCGGGGCCCAGGGGCCCCCCCCTTATAACGTATTGACGGTACCCCCCGTGTCACTCCTAATGATTCGTATTATTGCCGGTTAAAGAGGGCTCTAAATTGTTGTTTTTAATAAGGTAAATGCGTAGAAATAAATTAAAAAAGGAGGAAATGTTTTCATAGAAAAGCGTAGAATTCAATCTGCACACCACTGATACCGATCTTCCTGTCGATTCTGCATAAGGAATGTAACAAACTGCAATCATTAAAAATAATTTTAATTATTCGTCTTTTTTTTATTCTTGAATTTATGAATTATAATCGAAGCCCCTGAAGAAATTCACATGTGCAGGTTAGCAAATAACCGACGTACCGTCGTCCTGTCAACTGCGGTGTGCATATACACCCCACCGTGCATATTGCACAGGAAGATCCTCTTCTTTGAGAGGTAAAAGAAGGTAAAACCGTGGAAACTGAGCACTTGCTAGCATAAATGCTTTATTTAAATAAAATGTTACTGAAGATCGCTGCTTTTCTTTACTGATTTGTTCCGTTTACTGAGTGAGTATGCAGCCGCAGCCCCATCAGTGGGCACTGCACCAGTGGTGAAGGCGACAGTAGGTCCTCTCCCAACTTCTCCTAAAAAACACGACAGTTGTCCCTCTATTTATATTTATTTTAGTTTTTTCTTTTGGTTTTTAATCAATACATTAAATTTACTTTTGTTCATGATTTCCGTCTATTCAACTCCTCGATGATGCCGCCAAAGCCGCGGAGGCGCCCAGGGGTTGTACCCAAAAGTACTGATACTAACAACCCCAGGCGACGATCTTCTCGTCTTCTTCAACGGACGCTAAGTCAACAAACTAAAGATGTGGATACAGCTACAGTAGTGACCCTTGAGGCAGCAGATTGCTCATCTGCTGATGCAGGAACAGCAGCACCACCAGCAACAGCAGGACCAGCGGCAGCATTTTCTTCTTCTCTGGAGGCAAACTCCACATCTCCTTCGCTACTCTCAGGAGGACAAGAGGAGGAGAAAACTGTTACGTCTTCGTCTTCTAATATGAGGTGTACATACACCTTACCAGTACCTGAAGGTTTTGATTTCTCTATGGCGATCTGCAGTTACGGATTTTTCTGTATGATGCCCAATAAGGTTAGTCAATTAATTGATTATTTTCCTAATTATCTGCTGCTACTGCTTCTGCTGCTGTTGCTATGCATGCATGGATGCATGCATGCATGTAAATATGCTTATTATTGAGGTGTACGTACACCGCAATTTGTATGCAGTGGTTACCCGCACCTCCTTCTAAGCAACATGGCACACTTCGTCGTCCTCTTCGCTACGGAGATAAATGGACTAAATGCTGTATAGCAGATATTACGTCTATTGAGCCTACAAGCATTAGGTAACTCCTGCTGCTGCTGCTGCTGCTGCTACTGTTAACGGGAAGAGCAGCACCTATTGATGTGTCTGCTGCTGCAGAACTTGATGCTCTTGTGTATGCTGATGCTCCTGCTGCTGCTGCCGCTGCTGCTGCTGTTTGTTTGCTTTTCTTAATAGAATTATTATTGAGGGGGATTTACCAGCAAATTCTGCAGAGGAGGAAGAAGTATTAGATCAGGTATAAATAATATATTTATTATTATATTGGCATGTTTATTTGTGTATATGACCTCATATATATATATATATATAT